TAAAAAACATTTTGACATACATTTTATTATGTTCCAGTCATTAGTCATTTATATTTTACTATTGTAGTAATTCTTGCATTCTTTAATGAAAAAAGTAACTAAGTAGTTATTTTTGTTGGTAATTAGTTACTTTTATGGTCTTGTAACTCAGTTAGTAACTGAGTTACTTTTTTGACAAAGTAATCAGTAAATATAACTAATTACTTTTTTAAAGTAACGTTCCCAACACTGTTGATTAGATGTAGAAAGGTGTGATGTCGTGTTACTTTCTTGTAAATATGTATATGGTGTTTCTTCTTCGTTCATGCATGAGTTACAGTTATTACATTTTTTTTCGTATTATTGCTATATTATTATTATTTGCAGTAGGTACCTAAGTGAAGTTGCCCCCCCCCCCCCCCCCACCACCACCTTCTTCAAATCTAACAAAATTGGTGTCAAACATTTGTGCTGGTTTGTGCTGCAATATAATAATAACATATCAATGATATGAAAAAAATGTATTAACTATAACTGTGACGGTGTGTCACACCCTGTCTTGTCTCCCCATTCTCTTCAGTCATGTGTCTCTGTTAATTGCTCCCACCTGCGTCTCGTTTTCTAATCACCCAAGCTCCCAGCCCTCTTGTATTTAAACCCCTTCAGTTCTGTGTCTCTTCTCGGTTCATTGTTTCAGTGTCCAGCGTGTGTTTAAAACATTAAAGATATTTACTTGTTCTAGTTTGTCTGCCTGCCTTCCTCACCCGCATGTGGACCCTTGCCTCCGCTTCACTCACCGGCACGTTGTGACACGCTGGAACGAAGAATAAAAACCATATTCATATTAACAAGAAAGTTCTCTTCTAGTTACACAGAAATGTAACATCTGTATATTATACAGCTAATGCTTCAACTTCTTCAATCTTATCCAAAATATGAAGTAATGTGTTTGAACCCTGGAGTATGTGGTGAAGTGATGACTATCAAAGTGTTCACTGCACAAGCGGGAGTGTGAATTGGGAGTCCAGCACTCTCTTCTTTGGTTGCTTACCCAAAGGTCAAGCCTCTCTGGATCACCTAGAGCAGGGATTCCTTAAGTGTGGTGCGCGCACCCCCGGGGGTGCGCGAGCTGCCGCTAGGGGGTGCGCGAAGTGAAAAGTGTAATGGCTGCGGAGCTCAGAGAAGTCTGTCATATGTCACCATTAGCGTAGCCAGAAACTCATTTGTAGGTGGGCCAAAGAAAAAGTAATTGGGCCCAATAACTGTAATTGTGTGTGTGTGTGTGTGTGTGTGTGTGTGTGTGTGTGTGTGTCCTCCGCATGTGCCCTAGCTTCATAATAATGATACGCTCCGAGCTTCAGCGTTCTGGCCTGCGCACGCTGTCAATAGCAAGATATGTTCCGTATTTGATCATTTTTAACGGTGTTGGAGGAATCTGAAGGTGGCGAGTCATTCTGGCAGATTGTAATTAACACCTGTCTCATGCAGGTGTTCTGACGTTGTAAACCTCACACACAGAACATTGTGGATGTAACTAAATAAATCAAGAAATGATTCCCATCTGAGCATTTTAGCATTATTATATTATGATAGTAGCACACTGACTGTGGGACAGCATTCTAAACGTGTCAGGCTATTAACAGCGCGCTGAAGATCTGAAGTTCAGAGTGCGTCTGTCAGAGGTCAGACGTGTTCCAGCGGAACCACGGCTCACGGGTGCACATGTGAGCACATCTGGGCTGGGCAGAAGTAGTTTTACAACATTGGTTTAAATAGCGCCAATAATGAGACGCGGGGACTGGAGCGGCTCATGGAGCTGTACCGCACACACACACACACACACACACACACACACACACACACACACACACACAGATTCAATAAGCGCGCACGCTGCACAAACTCCGGCGCGCCGTCAGACTGAAGGCAGAAATGAGCGCTGCCTCCTCTGTGATAAAAACTTTTGAGAGGTTTTATAACATTTTTCATTCCAGGTCATATTAAGATATTAGCTTCTATTTTGGGATGACGTATTAAAGTCGTGTCCGCTCCAGCCAGTGACTCCTCATGAACCTGACTACAACTCATGTTACTGCAGCATTTGTTATTCCAGTCCGCGTGGCAGCGGATCGCAGATTCAGACACACCATAAAACAGCAATAAGTCGGTCTGAGGCTAAAGTGAACATCATGGCTTTTCCATCTTTTCCCTTATAGACATTTGATTACACACAAGTAGGTGATCAGCTCAGGTTTACACAGAGCAGAAGGAAGGAGAGAGCTCTGGTTAAACGTTCCTACTTTAAGAAAACCGTAAAAAAATTGCATTGTTTATGTGCTACCTGGGCACTCTAAATATTTATTTAAAATTAAATCAAAGGAAATTGTAATGGTATTGAATGTTTATCAATTACCATTTCAAAAATACATAAACATAAAAATCAAAGTGATGGGGAAAAAGGTCGATCATATTTTTTAACCCTGCCTGTCGAGTGACTGTTTAGCGTGACGTCTGACATATATATATATATATATATATATATATATATATGTATATGTATACATATACATATATATACATATACATATATATATATATATATATATATATATATGTATATGTATATGTATACATATACATATATATATACATATACATATATATATATATGTATATATATATATATATATATATATATATATATATATATATATATATATATATGTATATGTATATATATATGTATATGTATACATATACATATATATATATATATATGTATATATATATATATGTATATGTATACATATACATATATATATATATATATATATATATATATATACATATATATATGTATATGTATATATATATATATATATATATATATATATATATATATACATATATATATATACATATACATATATATATACATATATATATATATATATATATATATATGTATATGTATATATATGTATATGTATATATATGTATATGTATATATATATATATATATATACATATACATATATATATATATACATATATATATATATACATATATTTACATATATATATATATATATATATATATATATATATATATATACACGTATATATATATATATATATATATATATATATATATATATATATATATATATACATATATATATATATATGTATATATAAACAGTATTAAGAAATGATAAAATTGTTCAAGCACATTTTAATCTGCTTTGATTCAATAGATAACAGTAATAGTAGGCTCCAGTACAGAACAAAGTCATTAACAAAACCAAAGAGAGCATAATGTGCTTGACAGTTTATTACTTTTCTGAACACATTGTTTCTTGTAAACACTGATAAATCAATCAATCCTTTCAATAAATGTTTGACATATAAAAAAAACTGAGCAAAATGTACTTAAATGTGTATATTACTGTTTATACTAGATTATTTACTGTAAACGCTGTGATTAATCAACCAGTCCTATCTTTAATGAACTTTTGACACTTGAAAATAAAACAGTGAGCTGAGAAAATGTTCTTAAAAGTGTGTTACTTTTTCTGTACTAATTATTTCCTGTCTTCATATCAGTAAACTTTTCACTCATGAAAAAAGTGTGAGCAAAATGTAGGCTATAAACAAGTAATAAATGAAGTTTTAACCCCTTAAAGTGGAGAGGTCCTGGCGACCCACTGAGAGGCTTTGGCGCCCCCTTGTGGGGGTCGGGACCCCCAGGTTAGGAACCACTGATCTAGAGGAAAACTTCATACAAAGAACTACTTAAGCATATGGGTTTAAAATACTTAATAGCTTATCATGGCCTGTAGTAAAAGGTCTAAAACTAGGAAAAAGAGTAATACAAAATGCATACTTTATAAAAATCAATATAAAATGAACCACTTGAGTCTATCGTCTTATTGGATAGGATATGAACCTTTTAATAATCAATTTTATTAACTAATTTCCATTTTCTTAAACTGCACTAGTTCCCATGAGAACAGGGCACCCGGTCGTGGCTCTTTGTGGACAGATTAGTTATTTAGTCGCTCCCGACCACCACTATTCTACAAATATGCAAAAAATAAAAAAAACGAGCGAGTTTATCTGATGGCACACAGACTTCTGGAGACTAACATCAAGCACTATCAACCAACTCACCGAGCTGCAGTATTTCTGCGGTCAGGTCTCTCTCCGAGTCCGACAGCTCCACAAGCGGTCAGCCCACACAGCAGCCAGGCGCCGAAGCGGTCAGAGATGCACCAGGCTGACCGCTGGGGAGAACCGGGTGGAAGAATGGAACACAGACGTGTCCCTCCGAGAGCTCCGTCACCTTTCAGCCCGGGGGGGACGGGACACATGTCCTAATGTTACCCTAAATTCTTTACTTGTCTCAGAGTCAGACATCTCTGAAAGGGGGAAGTGTGTGTGTGTGTGTGTGTGTGTGTGTGTGTGTGTGTGTGAACCGACACTGTCTGCTGAAATGGATCGAGCTTTTGAAAAGGCATGCAGGACTGTGGGAACTGTGGGGTTATCAGGCGTAACTAAAGTAGTTCAGACAAAAGGAGACTTCATGCGTCAGCACACAGCTATCATCTTTAGGGTCGTTAACGATCATGTCTCAAAAGGGACTACAGACAATACACCTGTCAAGTTTGACGAAAGGTGGGTTGGCGGAAAGGGCATAAAGGTCATAAAACAATACACCTGTCAATTTGATCTATGGTGGGAAAGGTCATAAAGGTCAAAGAGCAATAGACCTGTCAAAAAGTTTGACAAAAGGTGGTGTGTTATATCTCTAATGTTATGCTCTGAAAAGTCAGAAATAAAGGTCTATACCCCCGTTGACTCGTTGCTCTTGTGGGTAATTGAGGTAACGCTTGACTTCTGTTTATATGGTGCAAGTGCATCATTTTGATTATGTCAGAATTGAAGGGTCTATATTTCTTTAATGCGGAACGCTTGAAGGTTCAAAAACATACATTCAGGTAATGCTTTTATATTTCCAGGTATGGGGCCCGTTCATATGAATGAAGTGAATTGCTCAGGATTTGAGAAGTCCATCACTGACTGCTCCTTCAACAAGGAGGCTCTGGGTTGCAGCCACGAGGAGGATGCCGCTGTCAGATGTAACGTTCCATCTATGGGCTACAAAGAAAGGGTCAGTCTGAAGCATGCTTTTTCCTTTTTGACTTTTTTCTTTTATTATTTTTTGTTTTAAAAAACCTTTTCACCTTTCAGTTATTACACATTTTTAAGTATGTATTTAAAATTGTCTTTTTTTAACCAACTTTAAACCTTTATCTTACTTTTAACCTTCTTTAGAAAGATCGATTGTCATAGTTTCAAAGTTTGACCCTGCTCTGACTTCACTGACCACAAGTCAAAGGATGAGAGAACAAACGGATATCTCCTCTGTCCCTGAAGCTTTACTTTCAGGAAATGCCATCACACCATAGCTCACGCTCACAGGCATCATATACATAGACCAATCCGGCAAGTCGGGGATTTATCATGGGCCAGCCATCCCGGGTCTTTGGTAGGCCTGTCAGATGTTTGATAATGGGCTGAACACATGCACGTGAAGGCCACCTCTCCCACTTAGTGATCTAGCTTATAATGCGGGTTTCCTTCCTGCCTGACATGTGCATCAGCCAACTCCATCTCTCAGTCAGGGTGCAGCTAGTTTATAAATGTCATTCTTTTCTTTTCTTTTCTTTTCTTTTCTTTTCTTTTCTAGTTTATTTATAAAGCACCAAATCACGACAAGAGTCGTCTCAAGGCACTTCACATAATAAACATTCCAATTCAGGTCAGTTCATTAAGCCAATCAGTAACAAGTTTCTATATAAGGAACCCAGCACATTGCATCGAGTCACTGACTAGTGTCAGAGACTTTACAGCAATCCTCATACTAAGCAAGCATGCAGCGACAGTGGAGAGGAAAACTCCTTTTAACAGGAAGAAACCTCCAGAGAATCCTGGCTCAGTATAAGCAGCCATCCTCCATGACTCACACACACACACACACACACACACACACACACACACACACACACACACACACACGCGCGCGCGAGTAAAAAAGTGACATAGAGAACAATGACACTAATTGTAAATAATAAATTATCCATTCCAAAATACAAGTACTTTGCATATGAAAGAAACGTTTGCGCTGCTTTCCTTAATGTGCATCATCATTCTTATGTAAACAAAGGACAATCAAGTCCTCGGCTCATAAATTTGAAGCTGTGCTGTCTTGTCCAGTACAACTCCATGTTCACACTTCCAACCAAACACCTACATGTTGTTTACATGCTGCTGTTTGCACACGTCACAACACCAAGGTGTCTTTTTGCTTGGCATCTGGAAGGCAGTCATTCCGAGGCAGAGCGTGTGAAACCATGTTGAACAACTTCCACGTTGAATCTAACAAGGACAAAGAAATGCATCCACATAACCTTTGTTACAGAGCACTTCATTACAATATTTGTGATCAATTTCATGCCATAACTGTTAATCTTTACTAAAAATGATCAGTTAAAATCTACATTATTGGTATTATCAGTACACGTGTTTAGATCTTCTCATGTCACATACCGATGGAATGGATCTTTTTTTACATAGGTACTACCAAATAAATGAGTAGAGGGGCAAACAGTAAACGGCTTCTATTTTCATTAAACCATATATAGCAGTGTTTCCCAACCCTGGGTACCTGGCACCCTAATGGGTTCTCCACAAGATTGCAGGGGGTCCACACACTTGTGTCTGTGATGAAGTTGTGAGGTTCTAAAGATGATATTTTACACAATTAAATTTATAAACTGCTCAGGACACAAACAATTGTACAATTAACACTGTGTATTAGAGTTACAACCCTTATGGATATATAAAATGTAGAATCATTCACTTTTGATGTGCGTGGGTGCGTAGGGATTGTGGTTGTAAGGTGCTTGGCTCATGTTGGACACAAACAAGAGGGTGCTTGTGGGAAAAAGTTGTGAACCGCTGGTCATTCATCCAGTCACTCACACATAAAAGCAGGGGTAGGGAACCCTGGTCCTGGAGAGCCACTATCTAGCACATTTTAGAGGTTTCCTTGCTTCAGCTCATTTGATTCACATGTTCAGCAGCTCATGAGGCTCTACAGAGGCATGTTAATCACCTGCTGATTATCATCAGGTGTGTTAATGCTGTGTAGCCTCTAAACATGCTGGGTAGCAGCTCTCCAGGACTAGGGTTTCTTACACCTCCATTAAATGCACAATAATTAACTTTTTGATTTTTTCAACATCATTTTCACTATCCTTTAAAAACAAAAAGAACACTTCCAAGCATCATATAAGGCCACAACAAAGTTTGAGTAACGTGCATGTCTGTTATCATGGAGTCATAGGACTTCAGGGCTTGTTTTTGCTGACATTCAACAGATGTTTACCTGTGGTCACAACACAGCTTTTCTCTCAGTGTCTTCCTTCTGTGTTGGTCACACGGTTATTTTTCAAAAAAACGATGCTAGACAATAGTAACGTCACATATCAACATGCTGCCCCTGGAGTCTGCTAACAGCAGATGATTCCTCCATCGTTTTGAACGTAAACTAAGAATTATGTTTGTATTTCAGGAGGAAACATTTATGGAAAAATGAACGTTGAGGAGACATTTCAGCAATTAATTTAAGGTGTTGAAACAAAGTCTCTTTAAATCTGAAATATTCTCACTAATGTGGCAAATGATTTGTTTATCTTGCTTTTATTTAGAAATTACAATGGTGTTAAAATGAATGAAAATTAAGAGATGCATGTTTTCTAAAAAGTGCAGGTTGGCGTATGTAGAGCAGGCACGTGTTGACCAGCAGGCATGCTTTTGTGTCCTTTACAGTGTAGGAGCCATTGAAATGACAAAAGTTTAAAAATTCACCAAAAATCAGAGAAATTATTTTTCAAAAAACATACAAGGTGTATTATGGAGAGCCGGTAAGTGGTGTTCAGCATGGGCCATCTTTGTGTCAATAGAATGTACAGCTTAGGACTTGTTTGCATTTATATGTTTGAAAATATCACCCAAAATCTGAGAAATAAAAAAAAAAGAAAGGTTTAGTAATTTGTCTAAAACATAAAATGTGTAGTATGATCAGCATCCAAGTTGTGATTTTCTGTGTGGATTTGTTGTCACCACAGTTTCGAATGGAGGAGCTTTTGCAACTTATATTATTAAAAGTTTCACACTAAATCAAAACTGTTTACCTGGATTAAACTAACTAGTGTAGTGTGATCAGCGTGTGTGCAGTGTTATATTTAGTGAATTTGGTGACACTGCAGTGTGTAACTGTGGACTTTCTTAATATTTTATCATCAACAATTTCTGGTGTTACTATTTGCAGATGGTCCCTGAGCAATCGTTCTGTTCCGTAAGCCCAAAGAGATCAGTGTAAGGCGTCGGGAGCAGAGCGTGACAGACAACAAGCTTTTTTAAAAGAATTGATCTTGTAGCTTGTTCACTACCTTGCCATGATCCCAAAGAGGTATGCCATGTTTATAAAGACCCCTCTTTCAGAAGGTATTGAGCTGCAAAAGCCGAATCTGTGAACATCTAGCCAACTTTACTGAAGCCTACATCACTCACACTGCTCTCTACTGCCCCCTACCTCCAACCATGGCTAAACCTGTAACAATCTGCAGTATCATTTCTTTCATTTTATTAAAAAATAATCAGTTACAGTTCTCTAAAATACAATTGATTAGTATTTACCTGTCCAAAAGCTTCTTGGCCAACTCTTCATTAGTTTTGAGGCCTTGATTACAAAGCTTCCTTCTGTCATGTTCTGTGTCCTTGTAGTCCTCAGCCCTCACCAGGTTTCCCTTCAAGTTCCCCTCATGTTTCCCTGAGTCTTCTTTGCCCCTTTGGTCCCCAGCTCCTTCCTGGTTCCCCTCATGTTTCCCTCATGTTTCCCTAGTCACTCCACTGTAGTTTTCTATAGGTTCAGATTCTCAGTTCATTAGTCTCCGTTAGTGTTTCCTTCTCCACCTAGATCATTTGTTTACTCACTTTTAGATCCCCCGTGTCTTTGTTCTACGGTGTTTAAGTTTAGTAAAGTTTAGTTTAGTAGCTTTTGTTTTACAGAATTTGGATCTGGGTTTCTCCACTGCTTGTGTCTGCTCCTCCTCTCAGTTCATTAGTTTCACCTGTGCCCAATTCCCTTAATCACCCGGCCCCTGTGTATAAAACCCTGTCCTGTCTCTCAGTGTGTGTTGGTCCGTTGTCTTGTCCTCCACTAGAACTCTAGGTTCCTGCTCATAAAGTCAGCTTTTGGTTTTTTCAGTGTTTCAGATATTAGGCTTGGCTTCCTGCCCATTTGGATTTTGTCACATCGTCCTAAATAAAGGATTTTCTTTTTATACCACCGCTCCTGGCTGAGTTGTTTCTGGGTTCCTGCATCTTGGGTCCAATCCTTCGTGCTCTCAACGTGACACCTTCATCTTTTAAATCTGTCTACAATAGAAGTCCTACTTCACTGTCAAGAACGTCTCGTTGTGAATAAAAAAAACACTTTTAATTAAAATTTGTGTCAGAAGCCAAGGAAGTTGAGGAATCTGTTACTTCAGCCTTTATCATTGTATTGTTTCTCCACCGTGGTGTCGAGCCTACTGAAGCGCGTGGCCATTGTGCACGCTGGTGACTCCGTTGTGCACGCTAGTGAATGGGGCTCGCTCTCGTTGACTGACAGCTCCCACTGGTGGAAAAGCAGTGTGGCTTCAATCTTCAGAGACATTTATCTGTAAACAGTTGGTTATTATGACTCTTTTGAATATCTTTGCTTCGAAGTTAAAGGTACACCCAAGTTACTTGCACTTGTCATCTAATAATAACAATAACAATAATAATAATAACAATAACAATAATAAATTCTATTTAAAAGGGCCTTTCAGGACAGCCAAGGTCACTTGACAGGAAAAATACATTCAGTAAAATACATAAAAACAACAATAAAACACAATGATGAAAAGAACAGAGAAAAAAATAACAATTGAAATAAAATCAGAGGTCATAGGCAGATCTGAACAGGTGTGTCTTGAGTCTGGAATTGAAGAGGGTGAAACTGTCAACATTTCTGATGTTTAGGGGGAGTGAGTTCCAGAGACGGGGAGCAGAGCGGCT